TATGGGAGGTGGGATAGGAGTATGGTGCAGAGAAAACGGAGGGCGGAGAGACATAATCAAGTGAGACTTTAACACGGGATAGAGGTCAAAGGCGTAGTGTGGATCAAGTTTATGATGATGAAGAGAATATAGTGATGTAAGGTGGTGGGTGAGGGGGTAGGGAGGGGGGAGGGGAGGGGGGTGAAGAGTATTGACGCCGGAGGGAAAGAGAGAGTTGTGGTGGAAAAGGAACGGAGTGGTGGAACAGGGGGGAGGGGGGGAGGGTAGTATTTTGGTGGAAGGGGAACTAACCAGATGATAGAGAAGGAGCGTGTGTTGATGGAAGAGGAAAAAAGAGTGATGGAATAGGAGTCTCGTGATGGTAAAGGAATGGAGTAATGAAGCAGGTGTGTTTCGTGGGTGAGAAGGAAAAGAATTTGAGAATGAATGCAGTAGCGAGTAAACAAAGGGAAATAAATAACAAACATAGGGATGGCGAGGCTAGAGGGTGAGGGGAATATAAGAGTCTGGGGTGTAGTGTGTGGAGTGAACATGAAGTTAGAGTGATGGTTGACAATAGCGTGTTTGAAGGTATGAGGGAAGAGGAGCATAGTATTTTACCTGGTGAGTAACTAGGTATCCACAGGTATTCCTAGGTAACTTGCTGGCCAATTCCTGCCTCGCCAGAACTCATATGACCTGCCACTCATAAAAAAATCTTGTATATTTAACTAATTATTAGTTTTTGTTACTTTAAAATATCTCTTACGTTGTATTTTTATTAATCATAGAGATCCTTTAAGTTTGTTGATCTAAAATGAATCAATGTTTGTTTTTATACCTGAAAGTTTACCTGTGTTTTATCTGATTTCGGTTAGGTCTCATATTACAGCCGGACTTCAGGCGAACATTGACACTTTCATCAGAAATGTTCCCTGTTATGGTAGCCAGGACACACAATGTATATGTTTATCTTGTAGATGAGCAGGGGTGAAGTCTTTAAAGGGGCAGTGTGTAGGTGCAGCGGCCGGGTCACACTACTCTTGTGCTCCTCATTGGCAGTTTTTGTTAATAGAAAACAAAGGGATGGATTTATTACAGTATTTTGCGATATATCTTACTCATGTACGTACTGACAACCATTTGTTAGTACCTACAACAAAACAAAAGCAAACACACAAAAAACAACGCAAACACAAAAGAAACTACACAAAGAAAAGGACAAAAACGAAGGCAAAATCCCGCTAACACAGAAACACACATATAGCGAACGATGCCAATCCCGAGTACACTGAATTATCCCCTTGAATAAGATATCTTAACCCCTTCAATACAATGACTTAACCCCTTAAATACGGTAAATTACGCTCCGGAATACCAAGACCTATTCAATTGAGGGGTGTAATTTATCGTAATAAACAGGAGTTAATGTCATTTCCCTTATTTACGTATCGTTTATGTGTGAATTAACACAGTTCAGCGAAGTTCAATATTAACGATTTAGACTTGTTTTCGTCCAGTTTTGTTAATTAGTTAATATTTACACAAATCCACTGAGCCAGACAAATTAATCCACGTGTTTCACTTACTAATAAATCATATCGATGAAATGTATTGTTTTTTGGGCTGCACAGTAACATTTTAAAACATTAGCGAAGTCAATCATTCATGATATCAGTCGTAGTCAACTGTATACATGCGTTTTTAGTCATCCGTATACATACACAGATACATAATACACATGAACACGGGAAACAGATGCACACACACACACCTAATACCTACATATCCACACCTACCATACAAACATCCCCCCCCCTACCCACACACAGGAAATCCGTATATCCATCCACCCCCTCCCCCCGAAAAAGGTCGTTTAAGTAGCTTCCTCTTTTTTATTAAGATGAAAAACGCCGCATGATACCCCGAGGGAGTTGACAGACGAATTTACGTCCCCCAAGAGTCTATTCAATTACCCACACGCCAAGATTTTTTACCCTGGATAAAATTCATCAGAGGAGCATTTTGTGAGGTGGGAGGCATCTGGGATGGAAATGTGTGGGGAGGGGATGGATGGGTGGGAGGGGGGGAGGGGATGGATGAGTGGGTGGGGGGGAGGGGATGGATGGGTGGAGGGGTGTGTGTCAGCCCCCCTTTCCCTCTCCTCTTTAAGATCTCTTGTTCCTCCCAAATTTCCTTCTTTCCCTAATCTTTTCTTCCTTTCCCTCTGCTTTAAGTTGGGCCTTCCTTCTTCTCCTCCTCCTCCTCCTCCTTTCATTCTCTACTCCTCCTTTCCTTTACTACGATTACTATATATTCTTCTTCCTACCCATCCATCTTCCTTCCTCTCCCTCCTCCTAAGAAGTACCCATCCTTCCATCTCTTCTCCCTTTATTTCAGGATTACCCCTCACCTTCCCCTCCTCCTCTTTCATTACCTCTTCTTTATCTAACATACCCCCTCTCCTCTTTTAATCCCTCCCCACTCAGCCTCGAGCTAATCCTCTCCCCCCCCCTCCCCCACCTTGACCTTCCCTCCCTCTCTTCCTCGACACTTTTAACGGTATAAGGACCCTCATATTAATTATAATTATTAATTGTCGTTAAGGAAATGGAAATGTGGGTTTATGGAAGAGAGGAGCGGGTTAGGGGGTGGAGGCAAACGCGTAGGATGACTAATAAGGAGAGACATACAAGGAGAAGGAAGAAATGGTGATGACAAGTAAGGAAGAGAAGAAAGTCGAAAAGTTGCAAAAGGAGAATTTTTTTCTTTAAGATCTAATAAATCTTTCATGCGTGTTAACTTTTTTCCATTTTTTTTCTTCATATTTATCCAAGTCAAGGATAGTAAGAGACGTAGTTGTGTGTGTGTGTGTGTTCAACAGGCATTGTTTAGTTCCTTCACATAAAAACAATTTCGACAGGACTTAAGACTAGTAATGGGAGTCTAACCATAAAATAGACTCAGCGGATTAAGCAGTCAGATTCACGACGGTCATCAGGTGGGATGATCATGTCTACTGTGAGGCAAAATTCATTCGGTTTCAAAGAATAAATCCACATTAATGAGTTTGTCAGAGTTCGTGTTGAGGTCAATTGTAGAGATCTAAGAAAAATATGTCAAGCCGAACCTATTAGTGAGAACCAATTTCATGGTGGTGGTTTATCTCTCATCTGATCTCTATCGTCGCAATGTGTTGAGTCACGACAATATTATTAATGTTTGTTTTTGTAATGGAGAGAGAGAGAGAGAGAGAGAGAGAGAGAAAGAGAGAGAGAGAGTGGATGGGTGGGTGTGTGTGAGTGTGTGTGTGTGTGAGTGTGTGTGTGTGTGTGTGTGTGAGTGTGTGTGTGTGTGTGTGTGTGGTGTGTGTGTGAGGTGTGTGTGTGTGTGTGTGTGTGTGTGTGTGTGTGTGTGTGTGTGTGTGTGTGTGTGTGTGTGTGTGTGTGTGTGTGTGTGTGTGTGTGAGGTGTGTGTGTGTGTGTGTGTGTTAGAGAAAAGGGGAAGTTATCATAAGAATTAAATATCCAGCACCATAGGGCTTGAAAGTTAACAGAAGAATTACAGTAAAAGTGAGTTACCACTAAGTGCATTATCAAATATTTAAACGTTGTGAAGTGATATAATACACTGGTGCGGCGCACAGCCTCGGTAAGCCTGACGCTCTAATCTGGAAGAAAAACAAATTTCTCTTCACGTAATTTTTCTAAGTATTGTATTAAAAAATCATATTTAGATTTAAGGAGAAAGTTACTCCAATTATAATGTTAATACTGCGCTTCAACAATAAAGGCGTTTAAGCGAGTACCAAGACTAGTAATACATTAGTCCAACTACATTAAAAATTATGAGAGGGAACTCGGTGTTTCACTTATTAAAACAGGGCGGAGGGTTAGATAAAAACTACTGCACACTTACGTTTTAAGAGTCGTTAATACTTCATAAGCAAAGCTGTGGCACACTTGTTACTTACATCTGGTGGGCGGGAAGTTACTGGATCTCTTATAAAAACTACCAGAAGCAAAAAATAGGCCACTGCCTCCCTGTGGTCACGCGCCCTGCCACAAATTAAGCGACTCATCAGTGAACTGGGATTAATTTAAACGAGAGCGGACAATTAACAATACCAGTTATTGGTCCATTTTCTGCTAGAGTCAAATATGGTTCAACGGTGATTTATTTTAATGGTAAATGCAATTGGTGTCGATTACGGTCATGATTTTTGCAGATTTTTAATGTTTTTTTTTTACTTTTTTTTAATTACTATACTACGTTATGCTAGTAGTCTCCTGCAGTGTAGTAGTGATAAGTGTATCGTAATTAGTTTCTTTCAGGCGCCGTGTGTGTGTGTGTGTGTGTGTGTGTGTGTGTGTGTGTGTTCTCAGTCAGAAAATACGCAAGGATATATTGCCAAGGTTCACGAGAAACGTCCCATTTTCCCTGACCAATTCACACCCGTAATTCGAGGAAGAAACATTATTTAAGTAAATACCTCGGCAACACAATCTTCATATCTTACCTTACCTTATCATTACGCCTCATTCACTGCCTTCCCCTCTCTCACCCTACTAGAAAAAAAAATATGTTTCTCCTGGAATACCGTCACAATATCTGTCATCCCATACTGCAATAATTTCCTCCGGCACGTGACGAAAGTTTATGTTTTTCACCGCCGTCCTGTTTCACATCACCACCATTATGGTCGTTACCAGCCGTCATCACTGAGTCTTCCTCAACATTAGCACGCTCGCCTGGACCGCGCTCACCACCCAGGCCATGATAAAAAATTTAACGTTGTCATGATTGATCTGTAAGTTGGTGGGTGCTTTTCTCCGTACGACGCGCGTGTTGTTGGGTTGGTGTTACAGGAAGTCTGCCATCCTGGCATATAGTAACTGTTCCGGGTTATACCGACAGACAAACGGCAATGCCGGCGATACAGAGTAACTGTACCGCATTATACCGGCAGACAAGCCGTACTGCTGGCGACACATAGTAACTGTACCGTATTGTACCGACAGACAAGCCGTACTGCCGGCGACACAGCAAGACGATCTACGGGACGGCGCTGCACGAGCCTGCCAGCGTGACGTGCGAGGTGGAGGCCAGCCCGGGACCTGTCACCTTCAGGTGGACCTTCAACAACACCTCCGAGCACCTGCCCATCCCGGCCTCCGCCGTCACCTCCCAGGTGAGTCACCCAGTAGTAATGCGAATTATCCCGCCCCTCCAGGGGAGTCATCCCGCCCTTCAGGTGAACCATCCTGCCCTCCAGGTGAGTCATCCCGCCGTTCAGATGAGTCATCCGGCCCTTTCGGGAGAGTCATTTCGGCCTTCAGTTAAGTAATTTTTACACCCAGGTCATATTCCTGACCTCTATGACCCTCCATGCGTCTCCCATACTCACACATGTTCCTTCCCGACAACCAGACGAGTGATGTAAGAAGGACCAAGAATTATATTTTCTGGATAATTAATTAATGTTTCACTTGTGAGTTGTACTGGTTTCAGTATTTGCAGTGGATTAGTGACGAGTGTGATGCTGACTATACGATAATAGACCTTCCCTAATAAACGTGTATTACACGAAGATTCTGAACTACAGTGTGCAAACTTGACTCTAGTGTTGAACAAAGAACCACTCTGCCCGGCACACCACCAATAATGAAACTAATACGCCTAATTACAGTAATTACTCAGATCAATCCTAATTATTTAAAAAAAGTGATAGCATAGTGCTTAAATTTCACCACTGTATGACCGTCAAAAAAGGTGATTTAAATATTTTTCTATTGTGATAAAAGCATTACTGTGACTCAAATCATCTATGAACCAAAAGATTACGTAAATAAAGCAATGAACACCCACCATAATGTGTATATATCACTACGGCAATAATGTATACCACAAGCTCTGCCCGGGAGATTCTGAGGCTTCTTTAGACTGTGGGGCATTTACCAACAATCTCTTTCTATATCGTTAAAAAAAAATAATTATCTTGCTTTAAATTTATCTTTTGCAGTACTTAGGCCTAAAAAAAAAAAAAGATCTCCAGCCATTATCATCTGTCTTCTAGAAAATATCAGTGCCAGACCATCACCCTCAAGTTGATCTCTCCTTTTTCTCTCTCTACAGGACTTTCTCTCAGTGGCCAGCTACGCCCCCAAGAGCCACCTGGACTACGGCACGCTGCTCTGTTGGGCCTTCAACGACATCGGCGAGCAGAGTGTTCCCTGTGCCTTCGCTATCATTGCTGCAGGTCAGTTGTGTTACATGTTGGTATAAACTAAATAGCCTAACTAACCTTTTTTTTTTTTTCATTAACTCGTATTTCTAGGCGAGAAATTTTGAGGAAGTTTTTAATGCATGAGCTACTAATATCTTGGTCAGTTGGGTAAGGTTTTGACAGCCAATGCGTTATACCTTCGCCGTAGTTTCTTATTGTTGATACCCGGTTAAGAGTTCGATAATTAATCAGCAATACCCAACTCTCTACACCATAGCGTTTCGTAGATGTAGTGTTAAAGAACTCCTTAATCTGTTCGGTTGATATTCAGTACAATGAGCAGAACAGGGATAAAGCAACACACACATATATATATACGAGCATGTAGTCTTCCAGGAAACGGAAAGTCTCAAGGAATGACTAAACTTGTCTTGGTGGGTCATTGTGCTCAATATTTAAGTGAGGGAATACAGAAAAATTTAGGAAAAATTCAGCCATTGAAGAGGAGGCTCAACTTATTGTATTGGATGACACAAAAGTTCTTCCAGTCAGGTGTCTTGTGTGAAGACAAACGAAGGCGGACTCAAAAACCCGCTCCATCTCTATGACAACCAATTATTTGATCGGTTAAAATATGGTGATACGAGTCGACATGTGTCCTCTCTCTCTCTCTCTCTCTCTCTCTCTCTCTCTCTCTCTCTCTCTCTCTCTCTCTCTCTCTCTCTCTCTCTCTGTTTGTTTGTTTCGGTGTTATACTTTATATAATTAATACACACGAGACCGATTCATACTTTTCACCAAAATTCAAACAAAATATTAACCTCCACAACAATAGCAAACCTTCCCTTCCTTTCCGCTCCCACCAAGGTGCCGCACGTCTTCCAGAGAGCAAAATTCGCGGTAAAAATCGGGCGAAAAAAAATTATAAAACTCATAATTATTGTTAGAGGCGAAGGTACAAAACATTTCGAGGATTTACGAGATGCCACAATACGAGAAAAACTCATAACCTCCCCAGTACGCACAATACAACCGACTTTTATTACCACATAAATGTTAAGATATGGCCCGTGATATTAGCAGCCTCTAAGACACTGTCATGAGAATCCACTGACACTCAACAGAAGGCTGGGGAGAATAGTAGGGGAAAGAGTGAGAGGAAGAGGGAAGAGGAGGAGGGAGGAAGAGGAGGAGGGAGAAGAGGAGGGGGAGGAGGAAGAGGAGGGGGAGGAGGAAGAGGAGGGGAAGGAAGAGGAGGAGGGGAAGGATTAAGAGGAGGGGAAGGAAGAGGAGGAGGGGAAGGATTAAGAGGAGGGGAAGAAGAAGGGGAGGGGGAAGGAAGGAAGAAGAAGGGGAGGGGGAAGGAAGGAAGAAGAAGGGGAGGGGGAAGGAAGGAAGAAGAATAAGGGAGAAAAGGAGTTGAATAAAGAAGACAAGGGGAGGAAGGAGGAGAAGGAGGAAGAGATGAGAATAGGGAAGAAAAAGAGGAATATGATGGTTAGAAAGGGATAGGGCAAAGGGATTGTAAGAGTGACCAAAACAGAGAAAAGGAAAGAAAAATGACAAAGGAGAAAGAGATAATTTTTTCACCGTCATTTTATCAGTGTTATTAAATCCTCCACCCATTGCCCCTCCCACCATAACCATCCATTATAACTACCACCCAACAATCGCCCTTAATATATATCTACAACTATGACCATGGCAATTCTCCCTCGTATCAAGAAACTACCACTACTATAATCATTCCCATATCTAGTATTACAACCACCACCATCATCATCACTATCAACGCGATCATCACCATAAAAATGAGAATGACAGACACTTAATGGTTGCCCAGCGTTGTCATTATTAATCATATCAAAATTTAGTGCCATCATTCTACACCATCATTGCCATCGTCACTATCATTCGTAATATAATCTCTACACCCTTATCACGACTGAATCACCGCCACAACTATCACCATCCTCACTGTTAACACTGCACCATCACCATCATAATCACATGGTAAAAGATAACAGTGATCTTAATTTAAAATGTATATTCTTAAGAGGAAACTAGAAAAATGTGTCCAATAGTTTCAAACGTCGCATCAAAACAGATAAACTAACCTGAACGCTATTTTCTGCACAAAACCTCTGTACCCCCTCCCCCCCCACCACACACTGTGCTATATATCCTGACAATTTAGTATATAAAATATGCATTGATATTGAAAGGTTCTATGTACTAGGTATCACACACACACCGATATTTATTCATTAATTAAAACCAGAATGTATAGTCTCATAAACTATGTAAAGTGTTCATGAAACAGTACAACTATTGCACATTATATATATATATATATATATATATATATATATATATATATATATATATATATATATATATATATATATATATATATATATATATATATATTCGTTTACAATGTTACCGCCACGAGCTTGAGTTCTTTTATATATTGTTCGGGTACTTAATGCGAGATTAGCCTAAGGCAGAACGTAAATAACTCTCAAAAATAGTGAACAAGACTGTACGACCATTCCTGATAATATCTTTAACGGTGACCAGTAATAAAACTCGCACGGGCTTATAGTTCACATGTATGTTACCGAGTGGTGCACACCTTTACTCAACGCACCACACATTAACAGACACTACAGGTTATCATAACACAGGTATGACTAATTACCTGAAAATCCGGCTTTAAGATCAAGTGGTGTACTAACAAGTGTAAGTTTCAGTGAGGTACCACCACTCGTCCTGCTCGCTCATCCGCTAAATGAACGTAATGAGGCAAGTGGGAAGGTAAATTCTTTGGATATATCAGTAGGTCAACATTTAACAGTTTCAACCTGGAACACACCTCAGCAATTATGGTTTCGTGTTGGTACAATTAGCTTGTTTTTACGTCACGGTGCGTTTTCGTTTTTCAAATATGTTGATTTTTTTTATACACCCCTAAAACGCATTCGAGTATACAGTATATAACGATTGCAGTAATATAAAATAATATATATCCTGAAATGCCAAATGCATATAAAAGAACCCATAATTTTCTGTTATACAAAAGGTTTACATTGACTATATAATAAGGCAATATCCCCAGGTAAAAGCAATGATTTTCAGTGCAGATCGTCGTGGTGGTCTCGCAGAACAGTGAAGGAATGCTAATACCATCGCTCACACCAGCGTCAATATCCAATGAGCCAATATTAATTGTTTATGTCCCAGAGTACTCAGCCAGGCTCGGGGGGAGGGGGGTCCAGAATAAAAAAGAAAGGTTTTACTTATTCAGGAGAGAAGTAGGATATTGGCTTTGTATGCAAGGATCAGACAAATAGTACCTACATTAATAAACAAGTGTTAGGTACAATGTACTCCGCCCCCCGATGCCACGCCGTGAATAAAACGTGACAAAAAAAGTCAAAATAATTGGTTACTTTGTCCTAAGTTCAGCTTCTTAACTTAAATAGTTCCCCATATATCACCTGGACGTGCAAACAATAAAGTAAAGAAAAAAGAAAACAAATGAACCACCTGTGGAAGGAGGCAGTACCCTTCCTATCCTTGAATAGAGAACTTCGATCATATAATATATTTTACCGGTATAATAGACACCCGTGCGTGCGTCCTTAGTATTATCTTTTCTATTCTGAATGTCAATAAAAAAAATAACTAAGACATACAAAATATGCAGTTTAATCAACTTTTAGACCAATTCTCATGGTTTATCTGATATGTCAGTACTGTACACTTCCACGCTCGCTGCAGCATGTTCACAGTCCGTTAACTTAGTCAAGTTTCGTGATAACATAAGCAACACGACGATATCTTAGATGCCCAAAGAATATGGCTTGATGGAGTATATCGCACTTGTGTAATAGGCTTCTTAAAGCAGATCAATGAGTGGCTTCTCCTGAATCTTGGTCAGGTGAGACAACTAGACCCGATTCCCCAGGACACATGCAGGAGATCTCTGTCAATTGTTTAGAAGAAAAGTTAGTATAGTTTCAAGCGGACGGGAGTCCTTTATTGGGAGCTCTGGGATGGAGAAGTTTAGGAGTCGTGTTGGAGGTTGTGGTAAGAAGGCTTTGTAAAGTAAGAGTAGAGGAAAAGCTTAAGGAAGGACAGATAGAGGTGATGTTTTGTGTGTTGAAGTTGATTCTGATAATGGTGGAACTAATGTTTATAAGCCATAGGATTTATGGTAAAATTGGCAAAACCATATATTAGGTAGTGAAAACTATTAAATTAATAACGACTACATGAACAGGTTACTAGAAACAGCTTTATTTATGCCTCAAATGACAGTGATTCTGGTCGGGATCAAAATAATTTTGTTGAAATCATTTACTTAAAGAATTACAAGAATTGAACAGGTAAAGCGATACAATACATTAAATAAAGTTGCAAATAAAACAAGTACATAAAAATAGCATCAATATCATAAATAAAAAAAAGATTGATGAAAAGGTTAAAGTCTCCGATGATAAAATAAAAATGTAAAAAGTAAAAAAAATAAATAAAAAAGTAAAGAAGATACATAAGAACTACCTAACAAGCTGCTTCTTCTTTCTTATATAAATATCTCTTAAGTAGTTACCCAACTTTTTCATGTGTAATCAGGGAAAAGTAACAGGTGCAACAGGTGGTGTGTCGAGATGAACTAAAATGACTCGGAATAGTTCGTGGAAAAATTATGTTAATGACTTATAAAAAAAAATATTAAACGTGTTGGATGAGGGAAGGGAAAAAATAGCTCAAGAAAGGGAAGAAATATTGAGTATCTTAGCAGAGACAGGGAGAGAGAGAAAGGGAAAAAGAACAAACATTAATATCAAATCGAAGAGAGTGCAGCTACGATACCTGGGAGATGGAGGAATGCGTCCACCAGATAATAGTAACCCACTTGATACTGTCGCTGCCCAGACAACCACAACTACCTTACACACGCGAGGGAACACTTGAATTAAATGACGAGATGGAAAACGAAAATGACCTTATTATTTAACGTGAGT